ATGTTAAAGTGAATGACACTTAAAACACAGGAGTTCATCAGGAAACATCTGCTGGTTACAGAATGGAAACACTTGAGATTGAAGAAGCTGTTCGAATGGAACTGACATCTCACCAATGCAATATGACGGTGGTTCTCTAGAATGTGTGCAAGGTGGTAGAACTTAGCCATTAAAGCTACAACTGGTAGTTTATCTGGACACTTTCCATGTAAATAGAAATAGTGTAGCAAGAAGATTGTGACGTTTCATCTGTGGGAAATTGGTTGTAGTCTAGAAATGAGACTAGTTTTGGTTTTTGTGGTATTGAATTTGATCAGACATTTTTTCTCCACTGAGCTGTTAGAGCTAAGTCAGAGGAGAGATCAGCTTCCAGGTTCTGGTCATCGAGAATTTCAGAGATGTACCCAATTACAGTTTTATCATCAGGATAAATATCTGCAAAAGTTTGGCGTATACACTTCAGCAGATCAGTAATCAAAAGTAGAAAGAGAGTTGAACCAAGAAGAGAGCCTTGGCAGATGGCTGCTTATATCACAGGAGGACTGGCCACTGACAATGATGTCAAAGTACCTACCCATTATTTATAAGTATTATTTTTAAAATTATCTAACCTATTCATATTCAATTCCCATTTAAGAAAAAGATCATTAATAGTTTTAAAAACATACTTAGTATATAGATAGATGTTTCAATGTTGTACAGGTTGGTCATAATAAATGATGTTTTGAGTAATGTTCTGCTAGAAACATTAAAATCATGCTATCCTTGATTTAGAAACAAAATTATCAAAAAGTAGAAGGCCATACTCATCCATAAGGGACACTGCATGTTTGATATAATGTTGTGGACACATCTAATGTTTGTTTGAAGGTTGATTCTTTATTTGGTATCAGGTGACACAAAATGTTTTCCATTCTGTGTGTGTTCACATGAACTTTTCAAATTATCACTTGCTTTTAATGCTGATGCACTGACTTCAGAAAATAGTTTTTCCTTTGTGTGTATTTGCATGTGTGTCTTTAAAGTCAAACTAGATGAAAACACTGAACTACAAACTTCACAAAAAAATGTTTTCTCTTTGGTGTGAATTTTCATGTGACTAGTTAAATGGGATCTTTGGGAAAATGCTGATCCACACTTGTGACAAGAAAATGGTTTCTCTCCAGTATGTATTCTCATATGGCGTGTTATACTGGATTTACTGGAAAATGCTGATCCGCACACTTGACAAGAAAATGGTTTCTCACCAGTGTGTATTCGCATGTGGGTTTTTAAATTTGCATTCACTGAAAAAGCTGATGAACAAACCTGACAAGTAAATGGTTTCTCCCCAGTATGTATTCGCATGTGTTTTTTTAAACTTCCACTTGTTGAAAATGCAGATTGACACACTTCACAAGAAAATGGTTTCTCTCCAGTGTGTATTCGCATATGGGTTTTTAAAATAGATCTGTCTGAAAATGCTGATCCACACACTTCACATGAAAATGGTTTCTCTTTGGTATGTATTCGCATGTGCCTTGTTAATTGTGAACTTTGTGAAAATGCTGATCGACACATTTTGCAAGGAAATGGTTTCTCTCCAGTATGCGTCCGCATGTGACATGTTAAACCAGACTCTTGTGAAAATACTGATCCACATACTTCACAAGAAAATGGTTTCTCACCAGTGTGTATTCGCATGTGTTTTTTTAAACTAGAACTCACTGAAAATGCTGCACCACACAGCTGACAAGAAAATGGTTTCTCACCAGTGTGTATTCTCATGTGGTTTTGTAAACTAGAGTTCTCAGAAAATGCCGATCCACAAACTTCACAGGAAAATGGTTTCTCTCCCTTATGTATTCGCATATGGTTTTTTAAATTTGAACGCACTGAAAATGCTGATCTGCACATTTCACAAGAAAATGGCTTCTCTCCCGTGTGTATTCGCATGTGGCTTTCTAGATGGGATCTTTGTGAAAATGCAGATCCACAAATTTTACAAGGAAATGGTTTCTCCCCTGTGTGCATACGCATGTGTGTTTTCAAACTAGATTTCTTGGAAAATTTGATTCCACATTCTTCACAAGAAAATGGTTTCTCTCCTGTGTGCATTCGCATGTGTTCTTTTAAGTGGGAGTTCTCTGAAAATGCTGATCCACAAACTTGACAAGAAAATGGTTTCTCACCAGTGTGTATTCGCATGTGTTTTTTTAAATTTGAATGCAATGAAAATGCTGATCCACACACTTCACAAGAAAATGGTTTCTCCCCTGTGTGTATTCGCATATGGTTTGTTAAATGGGCTCTTTGGGAAAATGCAGAACCACACACTTTACAAGGAAATGGTTTCTCACCTCTGTGGATTCGCATGTGTGTTTTCAAAGTGGATTTCTTGGAAAATTTTGCTCCACATAGTTGACACGAAAATGGTTTCTCTCCTGTGTGTATTCGCATGTGGTTTTTTAAATTTGAATGAACTGAAAATGCTGATCCACACACTTCACAAGAAAATGGTTTCTCCCCTGTGTGTATTCGCATATGGTTTGTTAAATGGGCTCTTTGGGAAAATGCAGAACCACACACTTTACAAGTAAATGGTTTTTCTCCTGTGTGTATTCGCATGTGTGTTTTCAAAGTGGATTTCTTGGAAAATTTTGCTCCACATACTTGACAAGGAAATGGTTTTTCTCCAATGTGTGGTTGCATGTCAGCTTCCTGGTCAGAACTCTCTGAAAATTGGAGTTTACACACTTCTCCAAAGTAAGGTTTATGATCCATATGTATTCTCAAGTGTTGCTTTTTCAATTTCAAACTGTGTGAAAAGAATGATGTGAACACATGGCAAGAAAATCTTTTATATCCTATATGTATTTTTTAATGTTTTTAAAGTAACATTCTCTGATAATTCTGATCCAAACTATTTACATTTAAATTTGAAATTGTTAAAAAATATATCTGCAAAATTCACACAGGTTGCTCTCCAGTATGTCTTTAGGTAAGTGCACTTTGAAATGTGAATTTAGAAAAAATGTTGAAGTACAGATTCTGCAAGAATGAGCAATTTATTCTTTGTCCAATTGTAAGTATTTAATTATAAACTGTTTCAAAATGTATATTCACACACATTCTAGGAATGTTTTTCTCTTCAGTCTGTGTTTGCGCCTTTTCAACTATAATTTCTTTTCTATTGTGTTCATGCCATTACAAATGTAATCTTCAGCTCTCATAGATATCTGTGAATATAGAAAAGGTGTTATGATATAATAAACTCGTATATTGTTTGAAATTATTACAATTATAATAACTGAAATGGCAGATAATAAAAACAGACACTTTACTACATTTGTATAAATTTTAATTATCTCTAGTAATAAAGATATGAGCAAATTGCTTATGTGCCAACATTTAACCAATACATTCAAATTTGGTACACCTGAAAGAAAATAACACATTTTAGTAAATTATACAAGTACCAATTCTCAAAAATTATTATCTAGTTTTATGAAATTCTTTATGTGGAGATATGACATGAAGCTTCCTGATGTTCAGCACTTGATATTACATAAATTTAGATACAACCACAGAAAATGTGAAGAAAAGTGAGAAGTTTTAAAATGAATTTCAGAAAAAGTAAAAGCTTTTATTTTAAAAAGGGTTCAGTTCGAAATTCCAACCACCTGAAGAAGGCGGAGCGTATAAACGGCCAAACGTTGTGACAAATATGGCGACAAAGATGAGGACAATAGTCTGACTAATGTAAATACTGTACATAATACCTCATCTCAGAAATATAGACAGGCTTTTATTTTAGTTTTAATTTCAAATCAATAGATTAAATTTAATATTTCTAATAAGCAAAATATTTTGCTGTATTTCAAAATTAACTTAAATTGATTGGAAGGTGTTTTGAGGGTATTTGGGCTAAAAAATCTAATTACGGTGCCATTTTCAGCCTGCATTTATTGTAATGTAATTCTCTGTATTACAAAATTATCCAAAAATAATATATATACTTCTGAAACTTTATTTAAGGAATATTAGTTAATTTAAAGTATAATTAATCTGATTTGAAACAAATATTAATTTATGTTTAAAATATTGCAGAAATGCATTTTTTTAACACAGCAGTTGCTGTTTATTTGAGGGTTTGACAGGTTGAATAACAGATGGGAGTTTATCTAATGTTTTTCTATGGTGGCTATATCTGTAAAATTAACATGAACAATATACAGTGAGTGATCTTTTCTATAATTTCCAACTACCCTGCAATCTTAAAAATTTAGGAAAATATTCTCTGTAATCAAATGTTTTAGCGAATTTTAGATACTTTGATTTTAAATTTACTATCATTATCGCTCTTATTTTCTTATAATGTTGTGTATGAATACCTGTATCAACAAAAATCAGCACATTTATGCACATGCGAAAAAGTTCAAAACTCTTTTAAAAATATTGGCGTTTGATTATTTGTACAAAGATAGTTTTTACTTAATAATATCACCTAAAAGACCAAAGTAATACTGAATTTTTAAAAGATTAAAAACTTTATAAATTATGTTGAAAATTCCTTTTGACTCAAAGGGTAGATCAGAAGCCAGTCTGGTACAGTAAGTGTTGCAAAACACTGCCTAGTCTTGCAACCCAAAATTCAGTCACGGATCGATTAATAATGTGAGAAGAAGAGAACCTGTGGAATGACTCTGTTCTCATAATGTCCATCTCATAAAAAAATGGTGAGAAGCTTGGGAAGTCAGGCCTTAAATAACAAGGTAGTAAGCCTGCACCTCCCACCATGTAAAAAGATTACAAAAACCAGTGCTCAGAGTGACCTTGCTTTGAAAACCAAGCCACAGCAAACATTCTGCCTCCCATGTGTGACTGCAACCACACACATGCAGGTCATTTCACTTATTTTTCCAAACATTTGAATATAATGAACACAATGAGAATTGGAACTCAGCTATCCAATTAACAGCTCTGAGCTGTTATTCATTATGTCACCTACACCTTCAAGTTTACAACACCTGCTGTTCTCAAATAGTCACCCATCTAGGTACTGACCAGGTTCAACATTGTTGAACTTCAGTGATCGTATAGGAACCCGTGTTTCAACATGATTTGGCCATAAGCACCAAGGTATGCCTTCAACTGCCAAACGTTACTTACTTTTGACTCAAAGGGTAAATCAGAAGCAGGTCCAGTACAGTAAGTGTTGCAAAACACTGCCTAGTCTCAAAACCCAAAATTCAGTCAGGGATCAATTAATAATGTGAGAAGAAGACAGTTCATTGAACGACTCTGTTTTCATAAAGTCTGTCTCAAAAAGAAAAAAAAAAGATAAAATGGGAGGGAAATTAAGCCTTAAGTAACAAGGTGGCAGAACTGTGCATCCCACCAAATTCCATTAAAAAGATTACAAAAACCAGTGCACGGAGTGGCCTCACTTTGAAAAACAAGCCATGTCAAACACTCCACCTCCCACGTCCGACTGCAACTCCAGACGTGCTGGTAATTTCACTTATTTTTCCACAATTATTCTAATTAAAATTTTATAAAAATGAAAACAATTCTTGCAAAAATTAATTATTCATCAATTTTTTTTTTTTCTAAATATAATGTATCTTATTCATAAAAGCAATTCAAAGCTTTTTGAATTAAATAATGTCTTACTTAGTTATTTATATACTCATATTGCATATTTTATTTTAGGATTTAGAGCAGATTTTCAGTAACTGGTGTTTCTGTTTTACAATAAAACAATTGATGATATTCTCCAAGGAGTTCTGCTTTTACCTAATATAAATATTATCGGGTGAAAATTTAATTTTTCGAACTTTCATGACATTAAATAAGTGGGGAGTGACAATAGATGAAAAAAAAAAATTAACAAGATTTTCTAAACAAAAAAAAATTTCTAAAAAATAATTTCATTCATTTGTAAAGTAAATAAATTGTGAAAGTTTCCTTATGCAACAATTATTTAATTTTTGCAAGAACTTCCAAATCAATGTGTTTTTCAAAAACGATGCTAAAATTTCCCATGTTAATCTTTCAACAACCACCCGCCCCCATGATGTAAAAAAAAAAAAGATAGAAAAACCACAATTTCAAGCATTCTGAAAAAGATAAAAAAAAATACAATTAAAAAGTCAAAAATTGCATTGGACTTTGACGACAAAATTTTGCTTTTCATGTGTGGGGCTTTTTTCATAATTATATGCTCCTTTTTGAGTGAAATAGTAAGTAAAAAAAAGTTTAAATAGTTTAATGTGTGAAATATTTGACCTGGTCAGATATGGTAATTGAATGATGTGAAATTTACATAGACAATGTAATTTTAAATTGCTGAAATAAAAATTGCAGCAACTTAGGAATTGGGGACTTGAAAATATTTAATTAAAAATACAACAAATGCTGATGAATGATCAATGAAATCCTAAATTTAATTTCTTATAGATATGTAGTAATTAGGAATGTTTAACTAACATAATTTTTTTAAGAAATAAATCTCACAGACTAAAAAAACAAAAAAAACGATAACGAATTTGACCTGGTATTGTCTACTTCTACAAAAATCATTTGAATTTCATTTTTATGCAGTTTTTCTTTTGAATGACTATAGTTATACTAAGTTGGAATATAATTAGTTATATAATTTTTATGATCAATAATAGAACAATAATGCACAGATTATGAATCTGTTAAGATAAAGTATAAAAAAAACAATCAAATTTTATTGTTTGCTTTCAATCAAACAATGTTTTATTTTATATTAGGGACTATAATTGTAGTAACACCGGTTCATCGCCAGTCGTGAATAATTTCTTGAAAATAAAAAATAAAATTTTCATGTAAACAGAGAAAGAAAAATTTGATAAAAATCTCCCCGACAGAATTTAATTACTAACCAGAATGTCTTACTTCGACAGTCAATTTAACAATGAAAACAAATGAATTAATATTTAAAAATAAAAATTGTTTCCAATGAACGATTCGCCAAACTGCAAATAAATAACTTTCTATATTCAATTCCCAAATTTTAAAATATTGTCTCCGAATTCTTGGCGAGTTTTTAAACATAAAAATATTTAAAAAAATCCGATGTCTGAACTAAAGCCATAATAAACTGTAAACAAAAAGCTGTTAACAATACTTACTGCTTTCTTTGGCTTTATTATTTGATTCCCCTGAGACAATCCCGGATTTAAGAAAATTGGAAAGACTATATATATAATTTTAAATAAACTAATGTTTTCTAGTTAGATCTTTCTTTATCATGTAGAACAATGGACGTCGTTTGTAATTCATACAAAAACGGTAAGACAAGATCGTAAGTCAAAGGGAAATAATTCATACAAAATAAGAAAAATATATCTTCTTTCTGAGTAATATTTATTTATTTTTCTTCAATAAAGTTAAAATTTATTGGTGTATAAATATTAGATTGTTGAAATTATATCATGTTTTTTCTTTGCAGGCATCGAAAGCAATTTTGGACTTACCATGAAATTACAATAGTCACGCAAGTCATTATTTCAATGTAGGTACGTTAAAGAGGAGACAATGAATAGCGGCTTAGATTTAGGAATCACGCATGTCACATAACTGACTGACCTTACATGAAAACTGATACCTCAAGTTTTAAAATGCATTTTTTGAAAAAATAAAATATTTCATGAAGCTTTTATTTTAGTTTTAATTTCCAGTTAATAGATTAAATTTAATATTTCCAAGATGCAAAACGCTTTTCTGTATTTCCAACTGAATTTAAATTGATCTGAATTAATTTAAAAAAAAAAAAATCGCTAAAATCATCCACATTGATGAAAACTGTCGATGAAATGTAATATTATATTTTAATTTTAATCATGTTCTAGCCACTTTTCTGATCTTTGCCCGGACTTTAACCTCTGCTTCTAAAACTGGCTCCCAAATCCTTGATCCTTATCAGTGATGAGAATATATTTTCTGATGAACTAGAAGGCTGAAAGATATAAAAAGGAATTTGATCACCCCTGCCTTAATCATGGTGCCATAAAGTCAGGGATAATGCTCACAACTTCCAAAACCAGTTCCCAAAACTTTGATTCTTATCAGAAATAAGAATATATTTTCCGAGGAATGAGAGGGCCTGCCAAGTGTATAGCAATTTTGGAGGAGAAAGTTTCCGATATTTATGAGCCTCTTTGAATTTGAAATCGTCTGTGATAACATCAGGTCGGCGACCTCACCAATCATCTAGGAAGAAATCTACATGCTGGACTCTAAACACAGACTGTCGGCCCTCTACTAAAACTAATCATGATCTACTTCCTTGGATCTTGAAATTCCTGTCGTTGGCCTCTATGAACTCACTCAACTACAAACTACAGATCTTCCAAGTGTTTCCTCTCTGAAGAAATCTATGTGAGTGTTCACCCCCTTAAGAACAATTTACTTGCTTAAAGAAATTTTAAGTGCTCAGAGAAATATTTTAAGCAAATCTTTTTATGAACACTTTATCTTCCTTTAGATTAAAGGGATTTCTTTTCCCTTTCTTTCTCTCATATTTTGTATATATCCCTTTACCTTTTTCTATGTAAAAAAAAAAAAAATTCTTCTTCTTTTGTTACAACCCGAGCAGGAGTTTGTCTTTATTTGTCTGCCTAAAAGAGAGAATTGTCTGCTCGAAACTTTCACGTCGTTGTTTATTTTATCGATGCTGTCACCTTTAACCATAACTCTTTCATGTGGGAAAACCAAGACAAATTTACCACAGTAAAAAAAAATCTTTCAAAATTAAAACATACTTTTCTGAAACTATTTGAGGAAAATTCGCTGATTTTAAGTGTAATTAATCTGATTTTAAAAAAATTACTTTTATTTTAAAATATTGCAGAAAAGCATTCTTTTAACACAGTGGCGGACATTTTAGGTGTTGACAACTCACTTGACAGTATTTAGGAAATTTTCCTAAGGAGGATATATCTGTAAAAATTAGTCGACGAATATAACGTCAACGTGTTTCTTACATGAACTTTTAACTACATAGCAATCTTAAGAATTTAAGAAAATATTCTAAGCAGTCTAATATTATATTGAATTTTAGGTATTTGGCTTCATATTCAAACTTATGATTCAGAGCTGATTTTCTGTAACTAGGGGTCCTGTTTAAACAAAAAAAATTCAAGATTTAAATTCTCCAGTGCTTCTAAGAAATACAGAACTTTGGTCAGTTCATCTCATTTACGACTATACTGTACTCTGGCTTGCAAAACATTTCGATCACCTTGGTAAATTAATTACTTTTGTTAATTTTTCCCACTAAATCAAGAGTGATTAGCAGTAACTGTGGTACATAATGCCACATCACGTCGCGTATGCCACCAGATAACAGGTGTGTTATGAAAAAAGGTTTTATTCTCCCAATTTGCATTGCCCCCCCACTATTATTTTATATTTTTATAGCCACAATATAACACCTCATTTCAAGGACAGAATGGATTGTCGTGAAAGTAAAAGAAATGACAAATATGCATGTGAAGATATATTTCCATAGGAAAACAGCGCCATAGCCTTGTGAGCTGCACCACATGACAGGTGCTAAGAGGATGCAGATTTACTGTGCTAAAAAACAAGTTCTTGGTTTCACTCCTGGAAGCTGACTGCCACTTTCGTCAATGTATGAAGTGATGTCACAAGTAGCTGTCACATGATTTTTTTCGATCAAAGGGAGATTACCACCTTCTGTATGCAGTATGCTTTTCTCAGTATAATACTTATTTCAATTACAATTAATTAAACATTAAATCAATTCAATTTTTATTTCTGAAAGACGTTTCAAATAATGTTTCAGAAATGTTTTAGATTTCATATTTCTTTACAAAAGACCTTTTTCTGAGGCAAAGACGTTTTTATTATTAGAAAAGTATGTTTTGTTTATTTTTTTGTATTAGTCAATATTTTGAACGATTTTAGATTTCTATGATAACATTGGTTTATTCAAAAATACAGTAGAAAATACTGTCTGTTGATGGAACTAAATTACTTTGATAATACCATCCACACATGTCATAGTACAGTCAGTCATTCATTACCAACCTTCATGTGATTATTAATTTTTTTTTTTTGGATGATCTCCTGTATTT